TATGTTCACACTTCAATTAAAACTGCACCGCTGGCCCATGCCAGTTCACTCAGGCTTATGAGGTCCAGACGTTTGGGCTCAGGCTGCAGTCCAAGCTCTGTGACCTTCTCAGCTCACTGGATCCTACTGCCCAGGCTCCAGTCCAAACTCAAACCTCTAAACTGCAATTAAACAGCCCCACAAGCCTGAATGGGTCCTGAAGCGTCATGGGCTCTGTGCCCCTGGCCTCTAACTCTGCTGCAAAGGGCTTGCCCTTAAATGACTTCTTCAGCACCCTATTCAAATGAGTCTAAAATGTTCATTGCCTACCAACTGCCCTTAGAGGAAACAGTGGAATTTTCCAATGCACCAAGACAGTTTGGGCCATAGCAACAAAATATTAGGACTTAAACTGCCATTAATAAAACCTTGTCTGACATCCACATAAAACTCTTTTAAAAAACAAACAGCAATAGGCCAGAGATTATTAGTCTCAAACAAATGTGGGTTAGTTAAATATAGCAGAGAACTGTGCAACAGTTTGTTTTTTGTAGATGGTTTTTAAATAATTGAACTTTGTGGCTTCCAGTAAGTTGTATTATTTGTTATTACGTCACCTTCAGCGGACTACTTTCTTTGGGGTTTCCTGTACAATTTAACCTTTAGCTATAGACCAATCTCTACTAGGCTATACATTTTGTCAGGTCTCATTGGCATCTGCTTAAATTGCATTTCACTGTGTATTAATGAAAACAACATGGCTCAGTTATGAAGATGTAGTGGGGATGCAAGAAATATAGTGGAAGAATTCACCGCCCAAAATCATACAGGGAAAGATTTTACCACTTTTACAAATGTGGCATAAACCTTTTTCCATAAGGCGTCCCATTGTTTTCAGTGCAACTATTGGCAGAGAAAGATTCTACTGCATTTGTGTGACTGAATCTGGCCCTTAATTTAATAAAAGAAAATGTTGCCACAGGTTGTTATATTTCATCTAGGCCAGATGATGATTCTCCATCCCCTTACTAATAAAGCTGGGCAGGTTCCCACATAAAGCAACCCCATCATTCTGATGCAACTACTCCTGTGAGCAACTGCTCATCAATGTGAGTAAACCATTCACAATTCGCTCCTCTTAAAACAGAGCAATTGGATGCTCCTTCCCTGAATACAACCACCAAGTCAAGAGACATTTTAGAGATTATGGCACCTACTGCTTTAATGATGACTCTTTTTACCACAACAATGCCTCTAAAAGTGCTTTTTGTTGCTAAAATGGCCCACTCCATTTTATTCTATTCTAGTCTTCCTTATAAGCTACATGTGCTCTCTGCTATCCTGCTCTATGGGTGCATGCTCTTTGCAACAAAACTCCGGCTACTGCCTGATAAAGAGAGCATATGTGGCAATACATTTAAAAGTCAATTTCCAAAAAATGTGACAAAAAAATTACAATCAGTTCTTGCACTGAGCTCACCACTCCTTTGGACTACTTCACAGCATGAGTGAAAGACTATACAACCCCACTCATTCCAATTGCATTGTGGTTTGAGGCTTATTTTTCAGTAGCAATATTTTTCCCAAATTTAGTTTTCTAAGCAGGGGTTAACCAGCCAAACCCACAGACTAAACAGATGCTTTTAGCTCCCATGGTGATTCTGTTCCCAGGTTTAAAATGTCATAATTAGATTACTGTTTTATGTGTAAAAAGGAAAAATTGGTTTAAGAATATCCCATTTAAAAGGGAGAAACATATTATGGCAAAAAGATGACATTATTTTATAGAAAAATATCCTGCTGCGGTGAGATTTATAAATACACAACCTTCCCACCACCACTGGAGCTTAACTACTTTATGAAGTAATGAAACTATAGTGTACTGCACTTTAGAAAGTGAATAATAAATACTATTTGTTCTGGAGAGGATCCTGGGGCACAAAGCGTAGATCTAGATACAACATTCTCTTAAATTTGGGGTTTCAGAACCAGGATTTTTATTTGGGTTATACAGCAGCTGTGAATGGTGAGTAGGTTTAATGGTGGCACTAAGCAATTTCAAGTGGGGTGATGTAGTACAGATATTCAAGTGAAGAATCATCAGTTGATTGGTCAGGGGAGCAGGAATCCTTAGTTGATTGGTCAAGATGGATTTTCACGGTCCTTGTGGTGCCAAACAGTGCAAAGAAGCCAGAACAGAAGCCAGGATCTGGCTCAACAACTACCAACAAAGTTCGAATGTGGTGCTTAGTCGTACAATGCTACATGGTGTTGGTTTGGTCCCACCTCTGATTTGCCCACTAGTTAAGAACGTGTGTTGTAGGCCTAAAAAATTCAGCTACTGACAGGCTTATGTACATCATTGCAAATGCAACTGTTTTATAGGTCTTGTTACAGAGTGCAGAGATGTTGGTTAAGAAGTTGGCTAGGAAGCCTCACTAAAATGACAATGAGACATCCAATTGGAGAGAATGGGAATGTATAATATGAATAGAAGGAAAGAGGTGGACCTGACTGAAATGTATCTGATAACAGACAATACTGTATAGTGAGAAGTGTGCGTGTATTATTCCTTTCTGATTGCCTAAAAGCAAATAGCTCAGCTGGAATCTGTAGCATCCCTCTTCTGTGCTGTAATCCCAGGCTTCCTCAAGTGCGATGAAGATGAAGGTGAAGCTTTGAGTCACAAATGCAACATTTTATTTCTCCTTTCCTAACCCATAAGAATCTGCGAAGGTTCTTATACAGGATGCCATGGGAGCTCAAGGCATACTACTAACAGCCCTAGCCTGGGGTGGGGGCAGAAGTGGAAACTGTCACAAATTTATGCTCTGCTACAAAGGAAAAATCAGCATCTAGCAAATAATTTAACATATTCTCTCCAACATTTTTGCTTTTGTTTGCTGTATTTTTCACAGAATTGTAATGACAAAGCCTGGTTTATTTATCAGTATTTTCTTCTTTCACGTCAAGAAAGTATGTTCTGTCATTAGGAGACAGTGTAAAATACAGCAAACTAAAGCAAGAAGATTTTTGCTGAAGAAGCTGTAGTTTTCCAAAACCAACATGAAGTGTAATTTGTTTGGTGCATAACAAAAACAAACAGTGGATTTGATTTCTTCACTCTGGGTCTGTCTTATTTCTCTCTGTGTCTACTTTTACAGGAATCTGTTGTTTAGTTTTATCTTGTACAAATGCAAACAGACTTCTGCACAAGCCATTTTAATTGGCTTTATCAAACAAGATCATGGTCACGCAAATTTTAAGAGATTTTGTTTGGTGAACATCTGCAAACACTAGACAGAGCTACAGTATAACATTTCCTTGGACTTTCTTCTATTGCTTTTATGTCAAAATTTTTCATCCAGACTGTTTTTTTTAGTGAAAATAACAATCCATATAAACAGTTCAACTTTACTGAGCTTTAAATGTTAGCTTTTAAAACCAGAGATATGCAAAATAGTCATATTTGTGAGTTACTATTCATATAATGTTTCATATTGGGGGAACAGAGGAGGGGATAGTATAGGAAACTAAGAGCCCCCTAGTGATTTCCCATGAAAAAGGAAGTGTGGGGGATAAGATGAGAGGTTATTTATACCCTGCGATATCTAAGAGCACATAATTCATGTTATATTTGTGTTAGAGAGCTACACACTTTAGTATACTCTCTATATAATGCACACAAGTATTGTACAACATTCCGCAGAGGTGTGGGGCCCGATCCAGGTCTCTGAATACATACTGGCACCTCTCCAGCATTGCAACGGAGCAGACAGCTGTCCTAACTGCATAGCTTAGGATTTTCCTTATGTCAGGAGCATTTTGGGATAGCATAAAACTGGAACAGCTGACTCTGCACCACCTGCTCCCTCGTCCCTTTATATGAGGTGCTCCAGGACAAGCCAGGGTACGAAGGAGGCCAAGGGGGTATTCTGGCCTCCCCACAGTGACATGCGAGGGAAGCCAGACATGCTGGGAGGAATGGAGAAAAGGAGCAGGAAGGGAAAGGGTTGAAATAATCACAGGAGAGTGTTCAGGAAGGCTTGGCTCTTGGTGTTCTGTGACAGGCACATTACATTCTGTGCCTTTTACTCATTCCTTTGAAGAAGACATTTACCTTAGGGATGTTAAATATCGGTTAATTTAATAGCCAAGGAGCCACCTGCCACTCCACATTGTTACCACTCCTGCAGCTCTGCATTTAAAGTGTATTAGGAGCCAGACGGGCACGCAGCCCAGTTCAGGTCCAGCCCGCGCCAGGTCTGGGAGCTCAGACCCTCCCTCCCCCTGAGATCAGCAGGGTCTAAACTAGCTCCCCTTGTGGAAAGGCTGCCAGTCCTTCTGTGCTGCTGCCTCTGATGAAGGGGTAGGAGCCCCTATGTGGGGGGGGGGTCTGAGCTCCCAGACCCAGCGCAAGCCGTAACTGAGCCAGGCTGCCTGCCAGGCTCCTAATACACTTTAAATGCAGAGTTGTAATGGGGTTAGGTCCCGGACCCAGCATGAGCCAAGACTGAGCTGGGCTGTCTGCCCAGCTCCCCAATACACTTTCTCAAAGTGGTCCACGAAACCACTTTGAGAAAACTGCTAACTGGCCACACCGGTGTGTTTATTTACCAGCACCTTGGCCACAGAGCCTCGTGGCTCCTATGGGCTCTGGTCTGCCATTTGCAGCCAAGTGGAGCAGCAAGAAGTGGAGTGGGCCGGGCTGCTTCTTCCTAAGGCTCCCCTTGGCTGCAAATGGCAAACCAGAGCCAATGGGAGCCGCGAGGCTCCGTGGTTGCGGCACCAGTAAATAAACACACCGGCGTGGCCAGTTAGCAGCTTTCTCAAAGTGGTTTCGTGGACCACTTTGAGAAACACTGCCCTAATGGGAACAAATAGAACTGATATGATATAAGCCCCTT